TTTTTCATGTCTAGAATATTGCAAAAATAGAGAGTTTTTGGTAAAATAGCCCATATTTAATAAAGTATCAGCACTTAGAGATTGGCCACTATACTCTACAATAACATAGTAGGTCGTCAAACTTTTACCCCGAAATTTTATCCCATAATTGACGAATTCTTATAGTGATCAGCGGTGCAAAATAGTAAAAAAATCATCAGTTGACAATGTTTAACAAATAATAAAGCACAATGTTTTGGTATTACAAACTTTATTCTTTTTATGTATGTATAAAGTAAATCTCATAAATTATTGTATCAAAATATTAAAGGGCTTGGAGTGTTTCTTGAGATTTCAAGAAGTTCATAACATATAAAAATTTGGAATTTTTAATTTTCAGCCAACACTATCAAGTATTCTGACCAGAGCTATACATTTTTTTTTATCGGTTTATCAACAAAAAAACTTTTATTTTACCAAATGAACCACATGTTGTTATAAGTCAAGTCAATAAAGTAACTGCAAAAGAATTTTAAAGTAGTATTCAACGATCTTGAAAAAATCCTAAGGTTGTTCTTTATTAATAACAATTAGCACCAAAATTTTATATTAAAATGTCGATCATTTCTCTGATTCATTCGCGAGTCATCAATTAAATGAAATTCGGTACAAATATGGTCAGAATTTCCAATTGTAACTATAAATGGTTAAAAAAATGCACCTTCCTGTGGTCTCAGCACAACCTTTCTTAATTAATAAATAAACGGTTTTCAAGACATACAGCTTATTTTAAAAAATTTTTTTACTCAGGTTACATATTACAATAATATCTTATAAACATTAATTGTTCTTTATTTTTATACTAAAAATTTGACAAGTTTTTTCTTTGTTGATCATTTATATTTTTGTAGAATCACGTTGACCTATAATCATCCACTCTAAACTTATAAGTAATTATGCAGAAACCTCTTAAACATATCAAATTACATAATTGAGTTTATGAACAAAGTGGCTGAGGATAATATTTAAAAAAATTTACATATCGGATTTGTAAAAATTTCAAAAAAAAAAATGCGCAAAAATGTCTTTATAATAATAATTTTTTAAAAAAACGTCCGATATAAATCAAATTTTTTCACATAAAGTATAGAAGTTGTACTTTTCTAAAATATATAAAAATTTGCTTGTTTATTATAATAATAGTTATTATTTTTGGGGTTAAAAAAAGAGCAAAATTCGGTCCAAATTTGTACTGAATTTTGTTTCATTTAAGGGATAATATTTTACTGCCATTACAAAAGGATTTGTTAATAAAGTATCAACAAAGTAGATATTCAGATAACAACGCGGCTCAATTTTCAATGAATTAATGGATTAAGGGTTAAGGATTAAGGATTAAGGATTGATGAATTATTTTCTATAACTAAAATATTTTTTTGGGAAGGAATTTTTTTTGTAAAATTTGGGTGTTGAAAAACATAAGTAATTGTTTTGTTGTAGAAAAAGTGTTTGTAGATCAAATATGTAAAGGTTCACTTTATTTTTCGCTTTTTGTAAAAATTAATCAACTATAAAAATTCTCCTGCCACTATTTTTTTTTAAACTATACATTATTATCTGAGAAAAATTTTAATTATTGCAAAAAATCAATCATTTTTTTCATTTCTCTGAAGGTAAAATCAGTTGTTTTTTTCATTAAAAAAATATTTTTTTATTGTTACGCAAGCGGAAATTATTAGTACTAGTGTTGCTATTTTGAAGAAGCGAAAGTCAAAACTAAAATTAAAAATTTATATGTCAAAATTAAATCAAAGTCAAAAGTCAAAAGTCAAAGGTCAAAACTAGTTTCGACTTATGGCGAAACCTTTTGACTTTTAGTTTAAAAACTAACATTAAGGCAAATTTTTTTCGTTACGTAAGTGGGAAATTTAATAAATCTTTTACAAGTTAAAAATTAATATTTCTTTATTTAATTAAATAAATAAATGTGAGTAAATTTTATGAATAAATTTAGAAATTAACGGTGGCTTGAAACATAATAAATAGTCGTCAAATTCAAATATATCAATAGGTAAGCTAAACCAATTAAATCATAGTAGTTTAAGTTTCCTTTTATCTTGCAATGTCAGCATTAATGTTAATCTTAACTCGTATAAGTCAGACGCAGCAAACAATTGTTTAAAGTACTTTATAATAAATGATGACCAACATATCTAGTTTACATGACAACCAAGGGATTTATGACAAGTTTATTCATTAAGAAATTTTACAAATATTTCTTGTTTATAAAAATTAATGGTTTTATTCACATTAGTGATGAATAAATTTTTTAATCTAAAAAAACCATTATCTCACGGTCAAAATCTCAGTTAAAGCAATTTACATATAAAATTAAAATATTAGAATCTCTCTTTATATGAATATAATTCTAAACAATATTTTGAAGCACTTTATAAATTAGGCCCACGGATAAATATAGCTTTTGGTTAAACTTATCTCTGCTTATAACTAATAGATTCTACGCATGATTGTATTATATTCGAGAAAGTAAAAGAAATTAAATTCTAGATGATATCCACACTCCAGATATTCTTCTTTTGCAAGCCTTTACCATTCTCTGGTGCTTGACTCCAATGCCACAGTTGCTCAATTTCTTTCAATGTTTTTAGCAAATATAACAGCAAGGTTATTTTTCTCTTTTGGAAAGAGTAAATAGGCCAATGTAACGTTGCATTACACGTGAGATTTTTGAAAATTTTATATTTTATTAACATACTACTAAGACACATTTTTCCGTCATATTTCTACACAAAATAAAAAAAAAAATATAAATATAAATATAAAGTTATTGGATTATCACATGATTAATTTGAATTATTATTATTATTATTCAAAATATCCGAAATATCTCTACCAATAGCATTTATAGTTTGAATTGCATCATTAAGACGCCGAGCTAAAATACCATAATCATTCAAAATCCCAGAAAGGTTTTCATGAATGTTATTTAAATTTAGAAACATATGGTCAAGATGTCCATCTAATACATTATTACTTGAATTAAATAGTGCTTGATTATTTGGTTGAAGGTGATGATGGTTTGTTGTGTTATGATCTATCAAGTATGATTCGTGAGAATTCGAAATTGGAGGTTCTGTTTGTTGTTGTGTAACTTGAGAATGTTGTGAAGGAAAAGGTCGAGGTTGAGAATATTGCGAAATCAGGGATTGTTGTCCAAGAAGTAAAGGGAGCCCAGGTAAAGAAATTTGAGATTGTGTTGAAAGTAGAAGTTGAGGAGGTGCTGGGAAAACACCAAAGGGGTTATTATTAATGTTATTTTGAGAATTTCCGTTATCAGTGTTAAAGTTGTTACTATTATTATCATCACTGCTAATAATATTATTAATATTATTAGAATAAGTAGAATAAGTTGTTGTGGGAGTAGAATTAGTTTGTGGATGACAAAAATGATCGTTCATTTTATTTTGATAAAAAATATATTTTTTTAAAAAAAAAAATATAATTTTTAAAAAATTTGACAATTTTTTATGGGGTTTATATGCTTATTTATTAACCGACCAATCAATATAAATGTTTTTTAATATACAATAATCATTGCCAATTATCAATCAAAGGAACTTTTTTAAACAATAGACGTAAAAACATTGTGATTTTATATTAAAAGGAAAAGATTTAAAGCAGTGAGATTTAACCACTTTATTCCTTCCCTCTTCCTAATATTATATTGACACAAATTTGAGATTTTTTACAATTATGTTATAAATATGCGAACTCTAAACAATTTTCCTTTTTTTTTTATTTTATTATTACTTTGGTTCGGTTTGACTCGCTCACGAATAAATCAATGTATTTTTAAAAAGACCAGTTCTTTCCTGTTAAGAGTTAATCAGTGTACCATTGAAGAGGAGCGTATCATGTTACATGTATTTTATAATAACCAAAATAGTTTACTTTGTGCAGTTGAAAGAAATCTGGTGGCAACAACGAAGATGATCGTGCTCACATCTTACAATCATGAATATCCAAAACATTATTTAAAAAATTGATTACCAGAATATCATTGGCTTGGTCAACTTGATCGATAATTCAAGATTTCAATAATACAGAAAATTTATACATATTAAGGTGCACGAAATTTAAATAATAACTATTTATATATTATGTATGTTATTGTGTATTAATTTACTATTTGCATCTTTTATTCTTTTCAGTCATTTCATTTGGTTCAGAATAGTTTAAAAAATCTTTTTATGGATAGATAGATTGATAATTTATATGTGAAGAGTATTGTAAAATCGAAAAAGTGCCACTTAGAAAATGGCGCTGCACACACTAATCAACACCATTTCAAACTTTGTCTATTTTTATTTTTATCTTCATATCAAGTTTGAGTTTAGACTTTTATTAGTATCAAAGCTTACCCTAAATTTCATTTATTTCGATAATAACATCCAAATTTGTTGATCTAGATATTTCAATTTCTGTCAACTATATGGATAAAATAGCATTAGCCTGTTTAGCAAGTTATTTTCTTTGTTGATAAGGATATTAAATGCTATTCCAAATTATTCTTCAAAGTATACTGACCGGTCACGTAATTTCAATAGTCAATGATTGGATTTTTAATTATGCCATTTGGTTCAATATTATTATTATTATTATACATGACGTCAAAACAATCGAATTTTCTTGTGTGATTGACGAAAATCATTACTAATTAACGAAATTTTACGCGATCAGCGTTGCAAAAATGGCAAAAAATCGCCAATTGACAAACTTTATTCTTTTTATGTATATAGTTATCAGAAAGCTAAGCTAGTTAAGAACTTGTTTCAATTTTTTTTTATCTTGAATAAATAATATAATATGATTTTGTCGAGCAAAGATCGTCCGCGCAAATTCATCACCCATAATACTATGTATTATCCGATTGATTTATGTATAATTAATTTATTATAATTATCCTAACTGATACTTTTTGCTCTTATTGTTGCTTATTATCGCTCATCCTTTTTTTTGAACACTCAATATTTTATACCTCCTGAAATTTCACGAAAATATTTTAAGATCAAGTAATTAATTTTGTATCTAATTTAAAAATTAACTTCTGATTTCTATTCTAAGTTATCGGGCAAACAGCACTATTAAGCTATTTTTGGTTGCCTTGTTATTTTAAGTACAAAATGACATCATTATTATTTATACTATTTATACAACATTTATATAAGATATAATTAAATCATATTATTAATTATTCAATTATGTTATGCAAATTTCCCTCATTTCATTGATAGTAAAGTATAATATAAATTAAACCATTTAAAAATGCAAATTTATTGTACAATTCTGAAAATTCCCTTGAAGAAATCGTTGAAGTATTTCATTTTTCTGTAAACCAGATACTGATGTATCAGTATTGGTCAAGGAAATATTTGTTGATTCAGTAAGGGTTTTTGGGCAGTCAAGTTCAATTGATGGAGAGTATCAGTTTGGGAGAATGATTGAGCAAGAGCTTAATAGAAAAAATAATCATATAATAATAAAATCAGAAATAATATACAGTATATTATTAAAACATGAAAATAATATATACCTTGTCTTTGTAATAATGATTTTGCTATTGTAAAAGAACTTGCAAGAGTAAGGTTGCTATTATGGTGATTATTATGTAAAATTGTTTCATCGGAAGTAGTATGTTGCTGGGATGTAGTATTTTGTTGATCAGATTCATCATTTTTGTCTATAGAATTTAAAATCAAAAAAAAATCAAAATTTTATTTTTGTGTGGATCAGAATGAATAGGGGATCAACGAATTGATTTTGGATTAGCGAATAATTTTGGTTAAAGAAGATAAAAGTTTTAAATAAAATATTTTTATTTTATTGATTTAGTTTTATTTAGTCGAAACTAATTAACTTCAAAGTTGCTTTTACATTAGGTCGAAATCAAGTTCTTTATATACATGTTCATTTACATATTAGCCCGAATTGCGCGATTCCGCTCGGTTTGGGCGATTCCGCCCAGATTGTGCGTTTTCGCTCAGATTGCGCGAATTCGCTCACTTTGTACCTGGGCTAATCCGCCCGTTCCGGGAGAATCGTCATTAATCTCTATTAAATAAAGTTAAATAAATATGAATGTGCTACGGATTGATTGAATATGATAATAAATAAATATTATACACGTTATTGATAAATAAATAGAAAATAAAAATAGAAATAATAAAATAGATTAAATAAAATAATAATAGAAATAAAATTTAATTTGACCCGAAATTAAAGGATTCGGCCAAATTATCGTCGTCATCTGATCCTGGTAACAATATAAAAAAAAAATAAAGTAAAACATACCATTTATTGCATCTAAAACCCTGTAATTCCTTAATGTCGCATGACTGTTTTTGGTCGTTTATATACTGCAAGTCCTTGTTGTGATTTATGTCGTGTAATAGACATTACAACTGTATCACTCTAAACCTAATTCTTTAAGAACTTGAACTGATGTTTTACGTCCAGAATGATTACTGATATGTTGATGAGAAAAATCTAAACCAGCATCTTCACATATAGAATGGAAGAGATTTTCAATGTTTTTTGTGCATATGGTTGATTGAAATACCATTGAGCGTTGAATAAAACTTAAAGATAAAATTTTATCAAGTTAAATAAATTATAAATGAAATAATAAATGAAATAATAATAAAGATTAAATATAATTTACCATTGTCTACTTGACATGGTTTTAAGTAAAAATTAGCTGGCGTTGTTGTTGATCTTTTTGTAAAATAAAACTCATAATCATTAATAATATCTTTTATATTAGGAAGACTAATGACTTCAGCTTGTGCTTCTGGATTATCTAAACCACGTTGATTTGTTTTGGATTTAAAAAGTTGAATATCTATTCCTCCATCACATCGTTTGAGAAAGTTATTTATTTTTAGAGTTCGATGTTCTCCTCCACGAAGTGCTAACAATATAGAATTATAAACAAATATGTGCCTTGAAAATCCTTCAGGGGTGGTTTTTTGAAAACTTGGGTGAGAAAGAATCATACGAACTTCTTGCAAGGTAAGACCATCAGCTTCATTATGTTCATCAAGTCCTTTAGATGTGAGGGTTTTTAATTTTCCATTTAGAGTTTCATTAAATAAATAAAATGCTTTGGATTAAAAAGATCAATTGGTTTGGAAGCACAGATTTTACATTGAGATGTCTCCAAAGAGCAGCTGCACAATTTTGAATTGATGATGCATGGTAAGGAGTTCTGTCTATTTTTTTCATTGCAAGAATAAACTTGGACAATTGATCCTCTAAAATATTTTTGTCATCAATCTCTTCAATCTTTTTGGAATACCCAACATCAGCACGAAATAGTTCAAGAACTTTAATATTAATCCAGCTTTTGGTCGAATTATGGGTGGCCTGAACTCTTCCTGAGTTTCGTAGTTGCCGAAGATCTTTAGTACTTGGTTCAGTGTAGGTAAATGTCTAAAAATAATATATTGGAGGAATAAATAATAAATATATTGTTAGTATGAGAATAGAAAAATAAATAAATAATACCTTTCATTTTGGCATATAAAATAAATAATAAAAGAAAAAAATCCAAAGCAAGCATACCTATGTAAAAAAAATCAATATCATTAATATAATTAAACTTTAATAAACAGTGACGTTTGAAAGAATAGCTTAATAGTGATTGCCCGATAACATTGATATTGGCCGCTGCGCTCCCAATATCTTGTACATAAAAATGAATAATACTTTCACGAGCTAATTCATTACTACATTAATAATAACAGGAGTAATAGATTACATTCGATTTAATAATATAAAATGGATAATAATATAAATAATATATAAATACAAATATGGAAAATTAAAAATAATAATAATAATAATAAAATATTAATATGGTTTGTTGTGCGTAACTTCTAATATTTTTATGTATCGTACGTAATATTGGACTTTCACGATCACTCTTTCACAATATATATATATATATGGATTAGTATTTCTATTCATTATATAATGTTTATTCGAATTGTTTATAACACAAGTCAAGCTTAATATTTGAATTATTCGTTTTATTCGTTTTTATTCAAATAAAAAAATAATTTTAAAAAATGCTTTTAATATGGAGTGTACGTCACAATGAATTCAAGCAATGAATCATGACAGAGGATGGCCTGGTCGAATACTAACAGCTTAGTGCGAAATATAGGGTTTGGCCAATTTGAAATAGAATACTGTTCATCCTTTTATAATTATTTTGAAAGTTATTTTTAATATTAAGTGAAAAAATGTATGGAAACTTCAGTTAAGGGTTTGTATATGTACTAATACTCATATGGTTATTTTGGGCTCAATGGACAATCATCGACTGCTTCTTCTCTTGGATAATTCCTTCATTAAAGAATTAGAACGGGTTTTCCTTTGATTATATGATTATAATTATTATAGTAATATTATATATATCTATCTATATATTGCAGATAATATTATGAGTGATGAATTTGCAGATGTTTTTTGCGGAAAAATACATGATTGCTTTTTGTTGTTTATCAAAAATATCATTCAAAAGGTCTGTTTCCTTTCTCTGTAATTATATTTCCAGCTGACGAAACAACATCTCGAATGGTACTGTGCTTACCGGTATTGTCAAGTAAATTCTTGTTTGCACAGCAAGATTTGGCAAAACTACCTTTTTTTGATTCTACCAAATAGTGTTCCTGTTTGAATATCAGAAATCGAAATTATATTCGAATATCCGTAACACTTTCGACTTTCGAATATCTGTGTAATAATTTACGTTATAATTAACCATGATAAATGTAACAATTCATGGAAATAAATAAGAAATGGTCTAAACATTATAGTCAAAAAAATTATTTATTTATTTTATTATTTAAGTTTAGAAACATTTGGATAATAATAATTAAACATCGATTATCATGTATACAGGCATGCTCAGTAAAAATGTAGTTTAAAAAATTTATAAAAAAAAATTTAAAGTATATATAAATTAATATTATAATTGCAATATTATAATATCTGAAAGTATTAATATTAATTTGAAAGTATTTAAAAGTGTTACTGTTACGGATATTCGAAAGAGTTATGGATATTCGAATAATAATAAGAATCGAGTATTAGTATCATTTCCATAAAATTACGAATATTCGAATATGAAGTTAGAGATACGAATAGGAACACTATTACCAAACAAGTACTGTTATTGTTGTTGTTGTTGTTGTTGTTGTTGTTGTTGTTGTTGTTGTTGTTGTTGTTGTTGTTGTTGTTGTTACTATTATTTGCTAATGATTCATTGTTGCTATCACTTCTACTACTAATAGTATTATTATGTATCTCTTAATTCGCCAACATTAATTATTACTTGATTTCTATTACTTTCTTTATTATTATATTTTATTCTGCTACGAGTATTGTGATTTTTTCAGAGGCAAAATTTATGGTATGTTTTTTTCTTTTTGTTTCTAAATAATGAAATGAATGTTAAGAATTTATTAAAAAAAAACTTATCGATAAGGCTAGGCCAATTTTTTCACAACCGACTGACATCACTGAAAGAAAATCAATTAAAATAAAAGGTTAGAGTAGAAAATTTCTTTCTTTTGTCAATTATTGCGATCATAAAGGCAGTTGTGTTACTCGGTAATCTAGGAATATAGATATTATTTTTATATTATTTTTAAAAAAAAGAATCAAATTTGTATTTTAATTGTTTTGTACATATGACCGATTGTCAATTAACTTCTAAATTAAGAAAAAGATAATAATATTTAAATTTCCAATTTTGAATATTAATATGCATAATCATCATTGTCATAAACTTTAATTAATCTTTATTACACGCGTCACATAACTTGCATTTATCATTGGTTATTTTACTAAGGCACAGTTTTACGCCCGAATATTATTAATTCAAAATAATGGTTTAGTCTGATCTTTTCTATTTTCCACGTCTTCTTTGATTTATATCTTTTTTTTCCCTTGGATAAAGAAATTTGATTTTTTTGAATAAATGGTTATAAGATTTTCATTGACTGATGGATCACAAATTAATCGTTCAAATTGATGCGTTGATAAGAAATATTGGATTGTTAGAAATTGGAAAATGTTGTTGGAGCAATGAGATCATGTATACTTTGTTTAAAAGTGATGGAAGAGCTTCTGATACCGGATACAACATTTGAAAACATTGTCCCAACACTTGAACATGTTGACGAGGGAATGATGGTATGGGATGTTTTTTCGAGAAAGGTTAGGGCCCACTAATAAAAGTAAAAGAAAAAACGAAGAGCTATGAATGCATTGAAATATCAGAATCGCAATTGCTCCTACTAGTCATTAAAGATTTTAATGGAAGAGGGTATTAGTTTCAAGATGACAATGTCTGACAAACAAACGGATAGGAACAAGTAAGATAATAACTATAGAAAATTGGCCAAGTCAAACTTATGACCTGAATACCTATGGAAAGAACTGGAAACGAAGATTCGTAAAAGACCTAAATAAAAATAGACTTGAAATTGCTTTGCAAGAAGAATAAAAAAGATGTTTCAATAAACTTGATAGAAAGCATTCCCGAAATATATTGAAATAGTGGTCGACCAATTGAATGTTAGATTAATAAGTGGTTTAGCCAGTGTAAGATAAGAGTTCATTTTGAATTGTTATGTAGGTTTTGAGTAATTATAAAAATAAGTTATAGTAAGGTTTTACTTATTTTATTTCTAATTGTGCATAATTTTATAAACAATCTTCAGTCCAGCACCGTATCTATATAATAAATTCGAAGATTAATTATTAAAACTATTATTACTATTCAAAATATTTGAGAGATTTTGAATTGTATTATCAAGACGTTCAGCCAAAATGTTATAATTATTCAATCTCTGAAAGATTTTTTCAATTTTATATATAAATGTATTATCAGGACGTCCACCTAATTTATTATGATGAAAATTGTTGTTGCAATGACAAGGAAACCTTAGGTTAAATTATTTGGTCGAAGAATAATAAGTCCATTTCGATGAAATAAAAGGATTCGTCTACTTCTACTTTCTATCTCTAGCATCTTACAAGAACACGTTACAAGAAGATTGAGGCCTAACTTCAAAATGTTTCACGTTATTTACATTACTGGCCTGACAATGCTCATTCATCAAGGAAAATACATCAGGAAGTGAATATTCCCTTTCATATCGTTGAACATAATTTAAAATGCCTAGAGAATGAACATAAACAGGATAATGGCTGTTTGATCCAAGGTTTATATACTCTTTTTCAAAAACATTCGGATTTCTTTATTTTTAATTGACAAAGCTCCAGAAAATATAGAAGCATATGATTTTATATGAGAAATCTTCTGAACTTAAGCTACAATATGATATAATTTTTTTGTATAATTATTATTACATTTTTGCGTTAGAATTATGGTTGCTCGCCAAACCCCGGAAACCAATCAGCAGAGTTTCAGCATGTTACACATTAATTGTTTGGCAGAGTTTCGACAGGTTACATACTAATTGTTTATCAGAGTTTTGGCAGAGTTTCAGCAGTCATTAAGAGGAATTTTATGAATTAGATTTTACAAAAATTGGCAATATAAATTTTTTTTGTTTCATTTTAAATGAATCTAAACCTATTTAATTATGCTTTACAATCATGCAAACTATCTTTCAATATTTGTTGAGATATGCAAATTTTTTGTCACCACCATTATTTTCGTTACATACTATATATTAGATTTGTAATTTTTTGGTTGTTTATATTAAAAAAAAATTTTTTCAATTAAAAATGTTTACCTTGAACTTGGGATATTTGGAAAAATTCTATTCTTCTTGTACAAAATTGTAGTGCCATTTATAACAATTACAAATGAAAAAAATAAATGCATATCTGTAATTGTTCAACAAATATTTCATCATCAAAGCCCAAAACACTTGATCCAGAAAAACATACTCTATTAAAAATTTTTTGTAATTTTCATTTATGACTTCACTTGTGTTGAACAAATTACTACATTATCATCCAACTTGCATATATAATCAGGTACACATAATAATTGTTTATTAGAGTTTTGGCAGTCATTAAGAGGTTTCAGCAAGCTAACTTAGATTTAACCTATTAAACCTAACCAACCTTTTGATGTATATAATAATTCGACCTATAAATTGACCCTAACACTAAATTAATTGACCTTATTATAATTACTGACAAAAAACTTGGCCCAGCTGCAGCAATGACCTATCTATGAAGTTTGTGGGATCCTGTGAATAACCACTTATGCAGCAGTATTTAAAAGAAAAGGGCTAACATTGTCAGTCCAACTTAAGATTGTGAATGAAACTCCTCCAGAAATCAATTGACAGAGTTTTGACATGTTACACATTAATTGTTTATTAGAGCTTTGACAGAGTTTCACATTTGGGGTTTTGTCAATCATCAGAGTTTTGACAAGGTATATATACTAATTGTTCATTAGAGTTTCGACAGAGCTTTGACAGTCACCAGTGTTGGAAATTTGATTGATGGAATTAACATTACACACTAATCAAATTTTTAATTTTTGGAGATGATTTCTAAATTTGTACTAGTTACACAATGAAATTTCAACACTGATAGTCACTAAGAGTTTTCAGCAAGCAACTTTAGTCCAACTGAAATGAGTAGAAAACATATAGTTGGCTCAGTTTAAAGACCTTCCGAATTTAAAAAAATAAAAGTTATTTTCTGTCCTACATTTTAAAAAAATTACCTCATTGGTTGGTAGAATAAGTCTCTAATTCTAATGTAATGAAGAGATCTTCTCAAAAAATTATTTGTTATAGAGTTCTATTCTTTTTTGGTATATGTAACATATGGAATTTTATTTCCATACATGTATGAAAATGCAGATCATACATACAGTCAACCCCTCCAATGCGCCCCCTTTAAATGCATGCTCTCATTTCAATTAGTTTTCTCATTTATATGTTGCATCTCCAGGTTTTCCTTCATATCTATCATATGCTATATAAGAATTATAGCATTTAAAACATATTCTTTCACCTATATTTAATTCATAACCCACTGGTTTAGCTTTTTCTTTTCCTTGTTCTGAAATATTTCACCACTTAGAGTCATCTTTTCCTATTTTGTAAATGGAACAAAAACCAACAAGCATTTTAGTAATGACTTGCAATCAAGAAATAAAAATTGTTACTTCAAATGGATCAGGGTGGATCAGGGAATGTTGAAGTGAAAAGAGTAATACTTGTAAAAGTTGAAAGGTTGTTATTTAGTGTACTTGCACCTGCCTTGTAAATGTAACCCATAGTCTATTCCAAAACAATTGAAAAATGATCAAATAATATAAAAGGAATGTCCACCATGCTTGTTTTCGTAACACCGATTTTACCATGTTCACAGTGCTGTGATCATTACTAAATTTAGACTAGTATGCATATCCGCCAATTTGGTTTTTTGGACCTTTTTTTAAACCCTATTATCATTATCATTATTATCATTATCATGTGGCTTAACTGGTCAATTGAATGATAATTAACCCTAAAAAAATTTATTTCTCTGCTAAATAAACTATTTTACTATTTAACAGCCTGTCAAACCAATGGGCCCACCTCCAAACCAATGGGTTTTTGGCTACATAGTATAAAGTATGTGTAATGTGTTACTAGTATTATAATAGTGAATAAAAATAACTGACATAAAATAATAATATTAAATCAAAGCTTTAAAATGATTTATGATGACTATAGAATGGTTTCAAGAAAATATTAAGGATGCAACATCAGGTGGACAATTAAGAATTAGATTTTGTTAAGATCAAGAATATTATGGATAAAAAAAAAAATTTATTATGTAATTTTTAATATGCTTATTATTATTAATATGTTTTATAATTTAATTTACAATGCTTGCTTTTATTTTAATTTGCTATAACTAGTATTGAATAAGGTATTTTTATTTATTATTATTCTTCAGGATTTGCTTTATAATGAAGCCTCCTTGGTTGATTTCTCATAATGTTCGTTTTATGCTTCTGAAAATACAAAGATTGATTCTCACAAAAAAGAATTTCTAGAATTGCTGAATATCGCATTTGTGTTTTACCACCATCTTTCATTGTTTTTGAAAAAAAATAACAAACTTGTTTATGGTTTTTTTTTTCTACACCACTACAGGAAAAAGCCCTCAATCTAAATCTTCGATGAATGTGCATAAACTCTGGAACATGAAACACTAAAACATGCATATAGGGAGTTACATCAGCTGGTCTATAAAGACCTTGGTTTTGACTATCTGTTGGTTTTAAGAATTGACCAAACCATGTTTTTGCAGCATCAGAAAATATTTCTGGATTTGTTGCAGGATCTTTAATATCTTTATAGAGTTGATAAAAACCAGACCAAAGATTTCATACTTGTCTAGCACAGATATAAGGTAACATAATTAGTGATATCAGCCGTTAAAAAAACCTTAGCCGGCTAAGCCGGCTAGCCGTCAAGCCACTATAAAATTTTTTATCTT